TAGTCTCTTCTCACTTTTCATAAGAAGTGTGTCACCTGCACAAGACAGGCTGTTGATAGTCTTTCTCCAATTCTGATGCCAGGTTCTTCAAATAGCCAGCTTCCCAATCAATTCTGATGCCAGGTTCTTCAAATAGCCAGCTTCCCAATCAATTCCGATGCCAGGTTCTTCAAATAGCCAGCTTCCCAATCAATTCTGATGCCAGGTTCTTCAAATAGCCAGCTTCCCAATCAATTCTGATGCCAGGTTCTTCAAATAGCCAGCTTCTCAATTTGCTCAACATACAGATTGAAGGTTTTTGTGTACTGTTGAGTGGGGACCAATTCATAGCTAACTTCCAGCAGGTTTTCAGAGGCTGTAAATTACACGGAAGATTTCTCATATTTCTTCTGAAGAGCAGCAGATTGATTTGAACTGCAGGCCTTTGGATTGTCAGCATTAACTCCTTACCGCTACACCACCACAGCTCCATACACCTTGAACAGGTATGGTAAGAGGATATAACCCTGATGCACACCTTTCTTGATTTTAAATCATGTGCTATTCTCTTGCTCCGTTTGAATAACTGCTTCTTAATAGATGTACAGGTTCAGCATGAGCACAACAGAGTGTTCTGAAATTCTCTTCTCCATGTTATCCAGACCAGCACAACTGAACACCTTTCCACAGTCAATAAATCGTAAGTAAACATCTTTCTGGTAGTGTCCGCCTTCAGCCAGCCTCCAGCAGACAATGAGCGAGGTATTCCAGCAGTGATAATTAATATCACTCACTCTGCTTCTCTAGAGAACCCAGCCCAAATGGGGAAGGTTGCTCATTCCTTTTTTCCCTAGTCTTCTCTGGTTTTATCTAATCTGCTGTTAATACCGTTCTTGACACTTTCTAACAAATCTGTATGTTTGATTGCTTTCTGCCACTTCAGTGTTTTCTTTTTAGCAATTTCCTTGAATCCATTTAAAGAACTCTTTTCAACATGTGAAGTCAAATACTGTTAGTGTCTACCAGGGAGTGATGGGTGGGTTGGAACCACTGACCTTTCCATCAACATCCAATGTTTAATCCACTGCACTACCAAGGCTCCTTCTCTCTTTTGTTAGAAGCACTTACAACTATATTTCTCCTGCTTCTACTCTGATTTTGCCCTAAAAGGCTGAGAAAAACACCTACAGCGTATTGTTGGGTGCATGATTCTCCCATACTTTCAACTGATCAATATAGCTAGTTGCTCAAAGCATCTGTATTTTTAGTAAGCCTTTCAAGTATGTCTGTAATGAGTGATGTTAAAACATTCCACTGTGATGCTTACTTTTTGTCAACTTCCTTTTAAAGTTCTATTACATGTTGCTTTATGTCATCCAAACACTTTTTTAGATATTGAAAATGTTTTAAAAATTCTGGTGAGTTGCACATTTTGACATTTTTAATTTAAAGCTTTCTGGTTTTTAAGTCTACCCATTCTGACATTAATAACATTAAGTCTATTATGTTTTGTCCAGGTTTATAATTTATTGTACAAATTAAGCATCACATGATGAATTGACATTAGCTGCTCCAGGTCTGACAAATTAGCAGATCAGGTGCAGACCATCTAGAATCCCACTTATTCTGCTTTGACACCTGGAGTATTTTTAGACTTTAACTTGAAGAACAAGACAAGCAAAGCAATGACCCCTTATGTGGTCTGTACACAATTCATTCTGTTAGCATGTAAGAGTTGAAGTACTTTTTAATACCAGTGAACTGGAATTGAGCGTCACTCTCTGGACCTGCCATGATTTCAGTCTAGCTAAAACCACAAATTCCACAGCCCATGTCCTTCAACATGCAAAGTCACCCCTCAGGCCAGTTGGAAGAAGTCTACTATATTTTAAAAATATTTTTAACTTTCCTGTGATTTTATGGTTGGGGGGGTTCCTTTGCAGGATTAAAACAAAAACTTAATCTCATCATCTGTCTTCAAACTGGTAATTTTATTTTATTCTGATGGCCTAGCTGTAAAAAACTGCGCTGCAATCCCTTAGGCAGTGGTTTGAATCCACCTGCTGCTCTGCGGGTGGATGGTCTCCTCTCATGCGGTAAACTGCCTCTGAAAACCCACTTGAGGGTCAGCTGTGGGTCAGTTCTGACTTGATGGCACGACAGGGCACATGAATATGTTTCTTTCTGGTGGCCTAATGGTAAGGATTCGGAAACTTCATTTGACAAAACTTGGGCATGTTGTAAGGAGGGACTGGTCCTTGGAGAGGGACATCATGCTTGGGAGGGTGGAGGGACGGCGCATGAGAGGAAGATCCTCGATGAGATGGATCAATTCTGTGAGTGGAGTGGTGGGAATGAGTGTGTTTGAGACAGCGAGGTTGGCACAGGATAGAACGGCATTTAGGGCTCTTGTACATAGAGTCACTAGGAGTCGCAAGTGACTCGATGGCACATAACAACAACAACAATGGTAAGAAGCTGTGCTGTAATCCCAAAGGCATGTGGTTTAAATCCATCGGCTGCTGCTCTGTGGAGAAAGATGGGCAATCTCCTCCCATGCAATTTATTGCCTTTGAAAGCACTGGAGGGTCATCTATGGGTTGGTTCTGACTTAGCACACAACAACTGTATACTTACTCATTAGCTTTACCCCATCATTTAATTTTTTCCCTATAACCCCATTTAATAACATCATTCTGTAATGTTCAACATCATTTTATTTTTCTATAAACCTGCTGGAGAGTCAGCTGACTCAACAGGACTTAACACATATACATAGAAGCGAAAACACCATTTCTACTACAGTATTGATATTTTTATTTATTTATCACTATTGCTAACTTTCTTGTGAACTCTGCAAAAAGCCCAGGAAATACCTGTTTTCCTCTCTTCCTTCCTGCCAGCAGGCTTGGTGCTCCTACCAGGCTTCTGTCAGGTCATTCTGATCAAATTGCCAAGATGTGTCTCTTCAGATCCTCCTTTTCCTGCGTGCTCCTTTCCGCTCACAAGTGTCTACGTGCTCCTCCCCTGGACCAGCACCCCTGAATTCTGCACCCCAGAGAGCACAGGGCTGCTGGGAGGCCTTCTCCCGCGGGCTGCACTCCTCTGCGTGGTCTTGCCATATAGTTCCGTCCGCTGCTGTCCAGCTCACAGAGGGCGTGGTCACACTCTGGATCCCAGAGATGTTCCTCCCCTTTGTCCTCTCAGGTCTCTATCTCCAACCCTCTGCCCGCGACTCTTGCCCAGTCCTCTCCTGGGGCAAAGACTTCAAGTCCTTTACTGACATAGTCACACCTGGGCACGGGTCAGTAATTTCACCTTCAGATGTGGAAGTTGCCGAGATTGAAGAACGAGGTCGGCACCCCAGGCTTCCAGGGCAAGCAGGTGTATGGTAGGGCTTATTTAACAGGTGGAGACTCGGGAGGCAACAGGGCAGCCTCTGGTCTCCACGACTCTTAGTGGGAGGGAGAAGGGCGTTTGTTGTTGAATCAGCCCCCCATCTCAAAATGGCCTTGATGAACAAGACGGTGCAGATCAAGACCCTGGCCCTTCCAAGCAGCCCAGCTGGAGCTAAGAGTAACCCAGCATGAGTGAGCGAGGCAAAAAGCAAGAGTGTAGCCATATTTGGCCTCTCAGAAGCCTCTTTCCCCTAAACTAGTAACTTGGAACCTTTGTTGACGATCTCAAGAACCATGTATGTGTTCCTTGGTCCATTTTAGCTACTGGACCATATGACTGGTCACTGCGTCTCTGATGCTGCTGCCCAGGCTGCTGCACACCCACCAGCGCCCCCGGGAGCCTTCTCCGCGTTTACGTCTCTTGCCTTCGTTATTCCACACCGGGACTGTTCCTTGCCGAGGCCGATCCAGGATCACGTTTCCACACCCTCTCCCTGGATCAGCACTTGCTCCTGGCCGTCCTAACAGAGAGGTGTCCCTAAGCTCGGACTTCAGGCAGTGACCACACTGAGTCATGGGTCCTACCCTACTCTCATCTGAGTGTCAAAGGCGAGGACACAGGTAAGTCTACCTACAGGCTAAGGGTGCAGGCATCAGAAGAGCCAAGGGGGGCCCTTCCCTGGCCTGTAAATCATGATTCAGCCAATAGGCTGATTTTAGGTGGTGAGAGTCTACGCCTCCTCTCTAAAACCACTCACTGTGGTTTTACTGTGGCCTACAAGACCGAGAGCCAGGGAGACCTAACAAGGCTGTGGGCCGTGCCTCCTGGGTGGACACATGTGCAGGGGACATGAGCACAGGCCTCTGTACACTGAGGGGATATGGCACCCACGATCCCACCAGGTCTCAGTCCTGCCCATACCTTCTGTTTCCAGGGATCCTATGCCACCCCAAGGTCAAAGGCACCAAGCACATACCCAGCAGGTACAGCACCTGGACCCTCCCCACACAGGGATAAGCCTGTCGGTCCCTGTGACTCAGTCTCTGTGACTCATCCCCTTCACCCCTCACCTCATGGTGGCCCCTCTCCCAAGGAATGCCCCAGAAACCTGGCCTCAGTCACCAAAGCTGGCCACACCTGAGGTTCCCTGCTGACTCCAGCAGGTGGTGGCCCTTCCCTGGGGCGGTCCTGTGTGGACTGCCAGGTGGGGGAGGATGTTGGCTTCCTCAGGTTTTACTTGACCAGAGGTGGGACATTACCTTGGCTCTGATTCTGGGAGCCCCATGAATGTGAGCGGGTGGCTCTGGAGGGGTGCTGTGCACCCCTTTCCTCTTCCCTCTCCACAAAGCAAACCAAGTGCCCAGTGCTAGCCTGACTTACAGAAAGGCCCTGGGACAGAAGAGGACCACCCTGCAGCTGACAAGGCTGAGACGTTTACAGAGGCAGACCGCTCACAGCTGGGCACGGTAACCCGGTCTCACCAGGATGCCCTCCACCTTAGAAGTCAGACCACACGGCTGGTCAGGGGGAAGCAAGTTTAATGGCTGGTGTGAAGTGTGGGCACAAGACTGGGGTGGGTGGGCGTGAGCGCAGGGGAGTGTGGAAGGTAGGCGTGTACGCGCTCAGGACAGCCCCAGCCCCAAGCAGATGGAGATCAAAGTCAGGGGCGTGGCCAGCTCAGTGCCTTGCCCGCTGGCATCCCAGAGTAAGTCTCTGAAGGTGGTCTCGTTCACAGTTGGGCCCACCTCGTTACACAGGGTATGCTCACAGCACTTGATGTAGAGGAACGGGGTAGGCTTCTCCAGGAGGAACCTCCGGGGTTGCAGATTTGCTGCAGGGCGCTCAACGACCGGGCAAGATAATGAGCACTGCTTGGAGACCAAGTAGAACCGAGCGAAGATCTCTACACAGAGACAGAGAAGAAGTGGTCACCAGTGGCCATCCACCCTTCCCGGGCCCCGGCTCAACCACAGGCATGTGAACAGTGGGCTCAGGGACCAGGGCACCCAGCGTTGGACTCACAGATGCACCAGACTAGGAGCTTGGCTCTGCCACTGGCAGCGTGACCCCAGAGGAGGGGGTGTGTGTGTGTCTCCTTTTGGGAACACATGAGCCCCCTGTGCCTCAACTTCTTAACGTGGGGCTGGCTCAGGCCTCCAGGACCCCCCTGAGAGAGAGAAGCCCACAAGGGACAGGCTGCTGTTAGTGGTTTCACAGAAGGAACCGTGTTGCCCTCAAAATACATCCTTCACCCCGGGTGTGCACCTGTCATAGTCCAGTTTGGGAACATGGCTTTCCTGGCCATGCAGGGAAGGTGGCCATCAGTGAAGGGTGTGCGTAAACCTCACAATTTCTTTTTTTTCCTTTCAAAATATTATTACAAGAAGTTTCAAATCCCCCTCAAATGCATTGACACTTAAAATCTTTTATCACAGGCTTTTAAATCTGACTTTTATGAGCCTGTTTCACAAGGTCAGTCTTCTCTCTTGAAGCCATCCTAGTTCTTAAGTGTTAGGCCTCGCTCCATTTCTGGCTCTCCACGAATCACCTGTTCCAGGTTCGCCAAGATGATAACCCGAGTAGCTAGGAAACACTCAGATGATGCATTTACAAGTAACTTACAAAGAGTGAGCAGAACAGACAGGAAGTCGTGTGTACTAGTGTCTATCTCGGGCCTCTATCCAGGGTCAGGATTAGAGTGGACAGTGACTCAATTATAGGAGAACAAAACGTTCTTTAGATAATGGTTGATCTCCTTCTTCAGTTCCACATTCTTCTCCAAATAAGACACACACTCTGCTCTCTTCTGAGGGATGTACTGGGCCTGTGGGGCCTGAAGTGAAGGCCACAACAAATCCTGGCCAAGGAACCCATGCTTTGGCTTTTCCATCTTCTAAGGGCTTCAGGGCCAAGTATGTCCATGTGTCTGTCAATACACTTTCTCTGGTGCCGTGCTCCCTCTGTGTGTTAAGAGCATCTGTGTGTTCTGAGGGCAGATATGAGATGACAATTCATGCTGGTACTTTCAGTCGGTCCCTTGAATCTTCTCTTTGGGGTCTGATAGAATGACTAGATCCCAAAGTACAACACTGAGGCTGATGACCATCTATGCAATCTCCCCGGGTCTTGGGGCGTATCCCAGCTTCAAGGGTCTCACCGTCCAGACCATGGTCAGCCCTACACTGAGAGCACGCAGTAGCTCCAGCAACTAGTAACCTGCCCTGCACCTGGGAGATGGGCGCCTTAGGCGTGGACAGGGGTGCAGAACTGGTGGGCACCATGGTCTTTTGATGCACAGGGACTGGGCGGTCCAGAGGTTGAGACAAGGAGGAGCCCCTGTTCTAGAACTCGACCTCCGGGGGGGAGTAGGCTGCCGACTCAAACCTCACAACTCCTGAGACATTACAGGAGCCCGGCAGCAGCTGGGGAAAGGACAAGGGTATGGGGCACAGCCAGGGCAGCTTGGGGGGTCTAGCAGTGAGTACCTTTCCGCGGCGGTGCCCTGAGTCTGGGGCTCTGACCTCTGGAAACGGTGGGAAAATGCATTTCCATCCCTTGAAATCACCTGTCTTTACTGGTTTGTCAGAAACTAGTGGAAACCCCAGACCTGACCCTTAGTTACCTTTCATGCCTGGACCTCAACTCACCTCCACAGCTCAACTTCCAGACAAACTACTGCCAAGCCTGTAAACGGAACATGGGACAGCCTCTGCTGACCGCAGGGAGGGTAATCCAAGGACATGGACTTTGGAGAGGTGAACTCCTAACTCTTCTGAGAGGGACATCATACTTGGAAAGGTGGTGGGTTGGCAAAAAAGAGGAAGACTCTCAACCAGAGGGACCGATACAGTGATGTGGCAACAGACTTGAGCAGGGCAGGGACAACAGGGAAGGACAGCACAGGCTCCATGTGGACATACTCCACCTAACAGCATCTAACAACATAAGATGGACAATAACATCGGGGAGAGTAAACTGTCAACTGTACAGGACTAAGAGGGCTGTGCTTGTCCAGAGATGAAGACAGAGAGGGAAGGAGGAGGCAGAAAAGAGGAAGCAGGACGAGTGGGGTTCCATCGTGGTGATGGCAATCCATGCCACAGCACACCTCCCGTCCACACAGCCCACACCACAGCACACCTCCCGTCCACACAGCCCACGCCACAGCACACCTCCTGTCCACACAGCCCACGCCACAGCACACCTTCCGTCCACACCACAGCTCACATTCCATCGTGGAGAAGGCAATCCATGTCACAGCACACAATGTGCATGGATTGTTTAGTGAAAAACAAATCTGCTCTATAAATGTTCGCTTGAATCATAATACAGTACAGCTGCAGATGTGGTTCTGACTCTAGCAACCTTCTATGGGCTTTCTGAAGCCACTGACCTCACAGCAGAGATTGGCTGGCTGGCTGGCTGGAGGCTGGTCACGTCAGCACAATGCCTCCATGGTGCCTGAGCAGTGGAGATTGTGGGTCTGCCTCACTTCATGTACAGGCTATTTCTTTATGAAGTTAACATACTGCTTAAAAGCAGTGTCATCACTACCTATTATCCCACAAACACCCTGGCACACAGAAGCCCTCTGTAAGTGACTGGAGAGTGGAAATGCCACACCCTGAGATCACAGTGGCAGAAGTCTGCTTTTAGGAGGAGGACAGGAAGCACAGACTGACAGGCTCCCAACATTTGATGTGCCCTTACCTCCCACCTTCCTCCTGACTCTGTAAAAACTACTCTCTCACTGTCAGCCAACTCCTTTTGGTGCAGTGATTCTGTGTATCCCCTCCACCTTCTTTTTTTTTTTTCCCTCCACCTTCTTTTGATGCTACCAGGATCATTCAAGATTTTACCTCTAGCATCCAGAAGGAAGACTCAACAACAACCTAAGGTATGTCGATGACAGAACCTTTCTTGCTGAAACTGAGGAGGACCTGAAGCACTTGCTGAAGAAGGTCAAGGACTGCAGTCTTCAATATGGATTGAAGCTCAACATCAAGAGAATAAAGATTCTCACCACTGGGCCAATTGGCAGCATCAGTATGGATGGCGAAGAGATTGAGATAGTTAACAGTTTTAGTTTACTTGGTTCCACAGTCAACACTCTTGGTACCAGCAGCCAGGAAATCAAGACTAATTCCATTGGGAAAGTCAGCTGTCAGGGACCTCTCCAGAGTACTGAGGAGCAATGACATCAGTCTGGAGACGAAGGTGTGCCTTATCAGGGAGCTCTGGTGGCGTAGTGGCAAGAAGCTGTGCTGCAATCCCAAAGGTGCATGATTCAAATCCACCAGATGCTCTGCTGGAAAATGATGGGCAATTTCCCACTGTGCCAGTTGGATCCAACTTGATGGCACACGACAAGGAAAAAGAAAAGAAACCAGAAAAAAAAAAGAGGGGAGAAGGTGAGCCTGATCCAGGCAACGGTCTTCACAATTCCTTGCTATGAATCAGAAAACTGGACAATGACCAGGGATGATAGAAGGAGAGTTAATGCCTTTGAGCTGTGGTGCTGGAGAAGAGTGTTGAATAGACCATGGTCTGCTAGAATAAACAGGATCACCCTGGAGAGGGTGAAACCAGGGTACTCCTCTGAGGCAAAGATTCTGAGGCTCTATCTGACATACTTTGGGCATGTTGGAAGGAGGGACCAGTCCTTGGAGAGGGACGTCATGCTTGGGAGGGTGGAGGGAGAGTACAAGGGAGGAAGACCCTTGAGGAGACAGATTGACTCGGTGACTGGGGTAATGGGGACAAGCATGTCAGAGACAATAAGGTCGGCCCAGGATAGGGCAGGGTTCAGAGATGTTGTACACAGGGTCGCTATGAGTTGCAGGTAATTTATTGCAACTCAAGGCTTAAATTTTTCAGTTCCTGAAATCTGAGAAATGCTAAGCAAGTTATTTTTTTATAATTTCCTGACTCTCGCTCTTTGCACATTTTGTTATAATACTTTGTCTTCTTGAGTTATCCTTTTCAATCTTCTGTTTCTTTCTTTTAGTTCAGCTTTTCTTGCCTTTGTCTTGGCTTCTTAATGTTCTAGTGCAATTTTCAGAGTCTTTCCTGACATCCACTTCGGATTTTACTTTCCTCCTGTCTCTGTAACAGCCTTTGCCTTCTTGATGAATATCCTCGATGTCATCCAGTCAAGACTCCTCTGGGCTTTGATCAGTAGTGTTCAATGCCTCAAACCTATTTTTGACATTCAGGTGGGATAAACTCAAGGTTTTATTTTGGTCCTTGTGGATTTGTTTAAATCTTCTTCAGCTTGAACTTGTCTGTCCCACAGTGGACACCTGGCTTGGCCCTGACTGCAGAGACAGTCTCCAGTGATTCTTCCACAGCTGTAGTCAATCTGATTCTTGTGTAGCCCAGCAGGTGAGGCCCGTGTGTGCTGCCATCCTATGTGCCTTGTTAAAGAAAGTATTTGCAATGGACAAAAGTCTAGAACATACCACAGACTGCCAAGAGAACAAATAGGTCTGTCTTGGAGAGGGTCAGATCAAGTCTCTCCTTGGAGACGAGGATTTTGAAGCTCTGTCTCACATACTTTGAGCATGTGGCCAGAAGAGACAGGCCCTTGGAGAAGGACATTATGCTTGGAAGGGTGGAGGGACAGTGGAGGAGAGGAAGACCCAGGATGAGATGGATTGATACAGTGACTGGGGCAATGGGGGTCTGTGTGTTGGGGACAGTGAGACTAGTTCAGGACGGGGGGCCAGGGTTCAGAGCTGCTGTACACAGGGTTACTATGAGTTGCAGGTGACTCGACGGCTCATAAGAGCAACAACATTTGCAGTAAAGAAATCATTGATTGTGTAAAAGTTAACCATTTGATCTCCAGCCCTGTTTCTGTCACCAAGTCTGTAATTTCCAGCTGTGGTTGTTGTCTGTACTGCAGAGTTGGAACTGACCCACAGCTGACCCTTCGGCCGGTTTTCAGAGGCAGGTAGTCGCATGGGAGGAGGTTGCCCATCCTTCTCCCACAGAGGGGCTGGTGGCCTCGAACCGTGTGCCTTCAGGATTCCAGCAGTACCTGTCCTTATTTGCTGCCAACCTTTGCATTCTAGTCACCAGTTATTATTAATGAATCTTGATTGTTTATTCAATCGATTCCAGACTGCTAAAGTTGGCAGAATTATGCAATTTTCTCATCCATGGCTTTCGTTGTTGGAGCACATATTTGATTAAGAGTTGACAGAAGGAATATGCAGAGTCACTGTATCAAAAAGAACTGGCTGATATGGGAATATTTCAGGAGGTAGCACATGATCAAGGATCAATAATAAGGCAGAAAGTTCAAGCTGCACTGAAGGCACCGGCAAAAAAAGTAAAGTCTCAGGAATGGATGGACTATCAACTGGCCCGTTCTAATAGACACAGTCCTAGATGTGCTCACCAGGTTGTACCAAAAGTCTAGAAGACAGCTACCTGGCCCACTGATTGGAGGAGGTCCATATTTATTCTCACACCCAGAAAGGGTGATCCAATAGAATGTGGAAATCATTGAACAATATCATTAACACCACATGCAAGCAAAATCTTTCTGAAGATTACTAAAAATGGCAGAACACTGACAGAGAACTGCTAGAAATTCATGCTGGTTTGGAAGAGGCTTGGCGCCGGGGTTATCACTGCTGATGTCTGGTGGGTCTTGGCTGAATGCAGAGAACAGCAGAAGGATGATTGTGTTTGACTGATTATGCAAAGCCATGTGACTATGTGGATCACTACACATTACGGGTAACACTGAGGAGAATGGAAATCCAGTCATTTGATTGTGTTCAGGGGCAACCTAAACCTGGGCTACTGTCTGAACAGAGCAAGGGAAGACTATATGGTTTAAAGATCAAAAAAGGTGTGCATGAAGACTATATTTTTTTCTCCACATTTATTCAATTTCTATGCTAAGCAAATAATTCAATAAGCTGTACTTTATGACAAAGAATGTGGTGTCAGGATCACAGGAAGACTATCAACAACCCACACTATGCATATCATACACCTTCCTTGCTGAAAATGAAGAGGACTTGAAACGTTTGCTGCAGAAGATCAAAGATGACAGCCTTCAAGAAAACATAAATTCTCACTAGTGGACTAGGATCAGGATAGACAGATTAAAGAATGAAACTGTCAACCATTTCATCTTACTAGGACCCACAATCAACCTCCTTGGTACCAGTAATCAAGAAATCTTTAAAAAAGTGTATTGCATGGAGAAATCTGTGTCAAGGACCTCTCTAAAGTGTTAAAGAGCAAAAAAGTCAGTCTGAAGACTTAGGTGCACCTGGTCCAAGCCATGCTTTCATCAATAAGTTGCTGCTCTGCATTTGAAAGTTGGACAATGACCAAGGATGACAGAAGACTCAAAGCATTTGAGCTGTGGTGTTGAAGAGCAAACACTGGATCTCAACCAGGGTCTACAACTTTGACAATATTTTTTAAAAAATAAAAATCCACTTATTAAAAAAAAAAAAGAGTACTGACTCTCCCATGAACTGCCAAAAGAACAGACAGGTACGTTTTGGAAAAGGTGTCACCTTGGTGCCCTTTGGAGCCTCACATATTGTTAATAGGGGTCAGTCCTTGGAGGAGGACAGCATACTTAGAAAGATGTGGGGTCAGTGTAAGAGAGCTGGCCGGACCGTGACAGCAGCTGTGGGCTCCCACGTGGCAGGATGAGGACAGCACAGGACAGGGTTCACGTCGGTTGGTCCTGGGGTCGCTAGGAGCTGTAATTCACTCGAGGGCACAGAACAGTAACGCTGTGAGCATTTGGCATCATCGAAGCTTTGTCACTTTAAGAAGCATGCCACCCAGCAGGCCTGTGTGTCAGACTGTACGCCACAGAGTCGGCAGACACAGGTGCTTTGGAAGCAGCTGCTCTGCCTTTTTTCTGAGGTGCCGCTGGCTGGACTGGAACCCCAAGCTTTCCGTCAGCAGCCACAGACGCTCACCATGGGCACTGGGAGGGGCCCCCTTTCCCTCCCACCCACTGTGCCCACCTCCAGCCACTGGACAGCAGTAGGTGTAGTTCTCCCCGCTGGGCACACCAGCCTCCGTGGAGCTCAGATCTGCATGCTTGAGAAGGGTCCCTTTATGCTAGCTGTTCTTACACAAGGCAGAGGGCCCTGGACGCGCCTGCCCGCAGGACCCCAACAGAAAGGAGGTACGTACTTATGGCGGTGGTGATGCAGTATGTTTCGGCAGATGAACAATTAACTGGGTTCAGGCATTTAAAATTATTCTCCGCCTCGCAGGAGTGACACTTCAGCACTGCATGACAAATGGGGACGTGAGAGGCACCACTGGTCAGAGCACAGAACTCACCCAGCCCACAGCAAGGACCTTCCCTCCTGTGCAGTCACTCCTACTTCTTTCAGTATGTTCACTCCACACCCACACCAGGGCCACAATCCCCCAGGTCCTCCACCCAGACTCCCCACGCACACCCAGATATAAGCCCGTACCCAGAAAGATACTCCAACCACATCCAGACGCACAACCGTCACCCAGCTACTTAATCCACACATACATGCACGATCCTTGCCCCGCTACTTAACTCACACCCAGATAAACAACCCTCACCAGGTACTCCAAAACACTCATACACAATTCACACTCCTTACCCAGACACCCCAACCCATACCCAGATACACAAATCCTCATCAGACACTCCCAATCCACACTCAAAACACCCCGACCTTCAACTTGGATACACAGCTCAGGCCTAAGACCCGTCCTGCACTTACAGCCCAAGCCCACACAACCAGGTGCTGTTGTGAGGTGTCATCCAGTCGAGTGCGACCCACAGCAACCCTCTGAGGAGCACACCTGCACCCTGTCCTGTCCTGTCCTCACACTTGTTGACACATGAGAGCCCACTGTGGCAGTCACGGTGTCAACCCACCTGGTCGAGGGTCTTTCCTCTTTGCTGGCCCTCGCCCTTCCGAGCTAAACCCACACAAAACACTCACATCCACACAAAGCGTCTACTTATGTGGACGCAGTCCCACAGACACAGCCCCAGAGGGCATGGGCACGCTCACTCTGTGACACAGCCACAGTTTTACCCACACTCCATCCTGGTGCCCGGTGCCCATATGTCCTTCCAAGTCCTCAGAGGTCACTTGGGTGACAATGCTCAGAAAGGTTGACAGGGGGTAGTGGTGAGAATCCCACGTGGGCACTTTTGTCAGTGTCCAGCTTGCCCGCTTAGGCCTGTTAAGCCTTTTAACAGACCAGGACTCCTACCCTCTGCATCCCACCTTGCTGTACCCCCAGGCATGCAAGGGGCAGGCACTGACCTTCCTGTTTAGATACGTAGATGCTCCTTTCCAGCTTGGCCACTGGGAGACTCAGGGCCAGAAGAAGGGCCAGCAGGAGAGCCATGTCCTCAAGGTGCCCACCTGGAACCTGTTTGTATGAACCTGGTCAAGTCTCAAGCCCCCTCTCCACAGGGCACTTGGTTTGGCCTGTGGGATCCAGTGTTGCTTCCTGCTGTGGCCATCTGCTCCTACCCTGACTCCACACCCACCCTCAGGTGTTCCTATCACCTTCTGCCGTCCCCCACCCCACAGGTGGTGTAGTGTCTTCTAAAGGGCTCCAGACCCCCCTCAGGACTGTCTGGGTGCACTCCTCCCCATCCGTCTTCTGCCCCTCCTGTCCCTTGTCAGTGTGTGGTCACCCCATGTGACCCTGAGAGGAAGCCAGAGGTCACAGGGTGGGGCTATGTACAGGCCAAAGACAAGAGCAGACCAGACCCCTGAGATCTTTGTAGCAGTGCCTGAATCAGCTCCCCAAGTTCCCCGACACCCTGAGCCCCAGAGTTCCCCCTCCTCCACTGGGCTCCACTGGGACCCCTACATGCCCAACCCCCAAGTTCCCCGACACCCTGAGCCCCAGAGTCCCCCCCTCCTCCACTGGGACCCCTACATGCCCAACCCCCAGGTTCCCCCACCTCCCTGTACTCCACGTCCCCGGCGCAGTTCTGCAGATGCCCCTGTGCAGCACCCAGTGGCCCCCAACTCGGCTGGCTCCGCAGACCCCCTCTTGGACCTGCCCAGCCCCCCCATGCTGTTCTGCTGGTTGAGTTGGTGGGGCGTCTCAAAGGTGCCCAAGGAACGCTGCCCAAGCTGACCTTTGGCTCTGTCCTTGTCGCCTAGTGGACACCGACCCGCCTGCCGCGCCTCCTGCGGGATACCACGAGGGCTCCTTCTAGAATCTTCTCCCTACTCAGCGCAGGGGAGGGGTTGTGCAGACGAGGACGGGGGCGTGGCCATGGCATGGGCGGGGCGAAGGCTGTAGCAGGGCGGGGCGAGGATGGGGCGTGTCCCTGGCAGGGGGCGGGGCGAGGGCAGCGGACACGACAGGGTGATGATAGGGGGCGTGACCGTGACAGGGAAGGGGCGGGACGAAGGCTGTAGTGGGGCGGGGAGAGGATAGGTGGGCGTGTCCGTG